CCCCACCCCCTCTTCATTCCCTGTCCCCAGTCACGGATTGTGATGACAGTGCCGGTCACGGTTGAGAAAACCTGGGACCACGACGTGGTGGTTGTGTTGTTGGAGATACGAGGACGAGGAGGCCACAAACCTCGCTCAACGCCTGTCTTGTGCTCTCTCTCTCTCCCTCTCTCTCCCTCTCTCTCCCTCTCTCTCCCTCTGCCTCTGTGCCTCTTGAGGACGAGCTGGGCTCTCTAATTGGTTGATCGTTTCCCGAGACTGATCAGTGGGTGCGTCTGTATATGCCATCGCACGTGTGTGTGCGTGTGTGTTTGTGAATGCATGTGTCCGCTCTGTTCACGCCAGTCAAGTTGGTGAAGATAATTTTTCCTGTCCCTGCACCAGCACCCCCTCTGTCGCCACCACGACATCGCGGTTCCAGTAGATAAATGAAAGTTGCGACGGACGTGGCGCGTCGAGAATATCACACCGCTGTTTCTGAATGAGTGAGGCAGAGATGCCGCCACAGACAAGCTGAGACTACGATGCTCTCATGCAGTGTTTAGCAAGGTTTCTCGCAGTTTCTAGTTTTCCCCCAAGAAATCATTTCACTCTCTTCAGCTGCGCGACTCACTAAACTCTCCTTATGATTAGCTGAGGGAGTGACAACTTGAACTTGACATCAGCAGACGACATTTTAAACAACTTACGTGTCTGAAGTTACTGTGCTTTAACGCACAGTTTTCCAAAGTTGTTTTTTTCTTCAACTCCTTGTTTTAGTTTTATTTGTTTTATTTTTATTTTTATTTTTATTTTGTTGTTGTTGCTGTGTTTTTTTTATCTCTGGGCGGTGGGAGTTTTTCGTGCACTTGGAACGTTGCTGTCATCTGTCTGGGCCACACGACGACACTGCATCAAGCTGTGGTTTCGAATTCATCACGTAACGAGGACAAAACAGCCCTTTGGGTCATTTAGTTCTGCAGACCTGTGTTGGCCTTGCGACTTTTGGCGCCCCCGTCGAACACCGAGGCGAAAGAACGCCTCTACACGTGCGTGCCATGGTTAATTCATGCAGTTTCCGGAGTCAGTGAGTACCTGTGTGCGGGTAGAATTCTAGCATGTCGTCTGGGAGTGTCTTGCCCACTGGCAGCGCAGCGCAAGAAGCTCACTGCAGTCTGCACGTGCGTGCGATTTGAATTCATTAAGTCTTCTAAAGCCAACAGCATTGTGATACAGAGTCTGCGAAGACAAGAGGCACTCTGTTCAAAAGAGGGGTCACTGATCGAGTGATGTTGATAGAGTGTGAGTTGATCATGGCATGACATTGGCTAGAGAATAACACGACCGTTTTGTTGAGAATTCATTAATTATTGTTCAATTCAATTAAACTGTCTCGGAGGTGAAGAGTGTAAATAATATATGAAGATTTCAGGGAAGTCCCCGCTTGCTCTGCTGGCTTTAAGTTGCTGCAAACTTCATCTATGAGAGTTGCATGCAATATCACTTGACATTTTTGTCTTTTTGATCGATTTTAGACCCTCATTAGCTATTGTCAAAAATGCTGAAAGCAGATGGTCAATAAACAGGAATCATCTTAGTTTCCTTCTCTCTGCGAATTTTTCTGTTCATGCTTCTTGGGCATACAATAGACCTTGAAAAACTGTATCTAAAAGAACACAATCGAGAATGGTAATTATTCTCCTGGAAGTACTGAAAAGAAAATCTCTTACGACATAGACGGACTGATACTTTAAACAAATGAGTGTGAATCAATCATCGAGAAATGCACGTTCGACTACATACGCATGTACATAACCCAGCAGTAATTTACTTTCGTTCTTTAGTGTGTGTCGGACTCAGGAAAGCGAACGTAACATACCCTGATATAAGGGCACCTGACTGTTGAACTTTGAGAGACAACAAAAGAGGATGACCAGCGTGGAGATCAAACGAAGCCCGGTTAAGAAAGAATCTTCAACGTACAAGTCGAGTTCAAATCCTGGTGAGGCATCAACGACCTGGGAAGCTGTTGCAGGTACTTATGCGCTGTAGTTTCAATTAATTCTTAACCGACTAATTGCAAATGTACAATCGAACCTGCTCTAAAGGCCACCTCTATAACTATAAGACAAAATCAGATGTCAACATCACTTGTACAAACGTCCACATCCCATTTCTTCTCGCGGATTTTAAAATATTTTTTGGTGTTTTTTCTCTTTTTTTTTTGGGGGGGGGGGGTTGTGTTTGTTGCTCTGTTGGTTGGTTGGTTGTTTTTTTTGTGGGCTTTTATTGTGTTGTTTATTTTACATTATAATGGCTCTTAGTGAGACGCCCACTTGTTTAAGACAGCCCATTCTCCAATCAACAATGAGTGGCCACCTTAAACATTGTCGACTGTATTCAGCTTGTTTTCCTCTGGATCGGGACCAATAACTTGTCTTTAGTAGGGTTTTATGAAGGAAGGGGAGTGGGGAAAGAGGAATGGGGAAAGGGTGGTGGGAAGGCATGGAGAGAGACTTGAAAGACAATGTGCGTTTGTGTGTGTGGTTGTATGTGTATGTTTGTATGTGTGTGTATGTGTGTGTATGTGTGTGTGTGTGTGTTTTATGTATTTTCGTGTATGAAAGAGAGAGAGGGAGAGAGAGAGGGAGAGAGAGAGAGAGAGAGGGGGGGGGAGAGAGAGAGAGAGAAAGTGAGAGAGAGCGTGGGAGAGAAAGGCAAAGAGAGAGAAAGAAAAAAGAGAGAGAGAGGAGAGGAGAGAGGAGAGAAAGAGAGAAAGAGAGAGAGAGAGAGAGAGAGAGAGAGAGAGAGAAAGAGAGAGAGAGAGAGAGAGAGAGAGAGAGAGAAAGAGAGAGAGAGAGAGAGAGAGAGAGAGAAGTACATGAAAACTCTCCAAACAACCAAAGTTCAGAAACGCTAATGCTGAGGTACAATCCTCAACTACCCACTCTGTAGTCAAGCGCCGTTTTATTCTATCTGCTCTACAGTTTATGTAGACATACACACACACACACACACACACACACACACACACACACACACACACACACATACACACATACATAACGAAATGGCGTATATTAAGGTGCTGAGGCATCAATACAGGCTACAGAAAGAGTTAAACAAACAAACATACTTAGTGGCACGCCCATTGCACAAAAATTATACAAAGACGTCACCTGAACAGCAGGGCCTCAACGGTGCAGTGCAAGCCTGACTGCTTCATACCAGACGCGCTCTTTTCTTTTATTGCTTTTTTCTTATTGTGTCACATCAGGGAGGAATCAAGCTCTCCTCAGTTGTTTGAGGATATGGAATTACATGATTGATATGATTTTAAACCTGTTTATTTAATTTAACTTTAAACGTGTTTTTTGGTGTTATTTTTTTTAAATAATTTTTTTAAGATTTTGCTTTTGATGAAGAAAATACCCATCTATTTTTGTACAGATGTTGAGATATTTTCTTTGCGGTAAAAAGTAAAGTAAAGCAAAGTTGTTCCCGCATCCGATCCGGACATTGGGGACTGCTTTGTTAGTGAAATAACTTCCTGGGCCTTCGGCATATTGTGGTAGGGTGGCCAGTTCATTTCCACGTCGCCTTTATTTCCCCAACTCGAAGTCAGGTACCCATAACTGCTGGGTGGGCAGGAGCTTTGCTTACTTACTTTGCTGTAAGAGGTAACATTGGAGAGAAAATGGCCTCCAAAGTCTGTCGACTTCTAAAGCTTAAGTTATATTAAATTCAAAGTTTTTCATTTTAAAAGTGCACTCCGAAATGTGTTCTTAATGGGTCTTAAAAGGTGTGGGGGGGGGGGAAAATCGGGGAAAAAATATACTACGCGTTGTTAGCACATTGACTGCGTCACCCGAGACTGTAAGCACTTTGATATGGTTCTAAAGCTAGTCTGGTAGTGAAAGTGTTAATGGAATTATACCTACTCCACGTAGTTATTCCACGAAGAGCGGAAACACGTTTCTCACAGACGCACAATAGAGGCGTCGGTAGCCTAGTGGTTAGGCTCTCGGACTCGCAACCGTAAGGTCGTGGGTTCGAATCCTGTCAGGGACCCGACGTTGTGTCCTTGGGAAAGGCACTTTACACGAATTTCCCTCACTTCACCCAGGTGGGAATGGCTATAGACAGCGAAAGATCTTCTCAGTTTGTTAGTGTTTGAGCGCTTAATCGGCTGCTTGCACTGTATGCTTCCCGGGAAGCTGAGAATGTTTCGGAGTGTTCTATGGTCTGCTGGGGTAATAATATAGTGTAAAGTGCATAGAGCCTGCTGTTGAGCGGGGATATGCGCTATAAAAATGCTATCTATTATTTATTATTATGAAGTGACAGATGAATATAATACATGTACACAGTTAAATGAGGTTTCTGTTAAGAAAGGGAAAGAGATTTTATAAAAATCTTAAACCTAGAAGGGCGGTGTGGTCGCATTTTTTAAAAAGAATCTTACGTGTTTCGACTGACTTGCTTTTACAAGAGACATGACGCTACAGGCTGAACACTACATGTTCCTTTCCCCGGGGTTCGTATTATTGCAACTTTAAAAACTAAAAGAAATCTCTGCGTTCTTCATTACATTTTCTTTTCCCCGGGTTTTTTGTTCTTGCAACTCTTAGAGAAATCTCTGCGTCCTCTTGCCTCTTTTCTGTTTACTCAACCTTCCTCTCCCTCACTCTCACCTCGCCAATACACAACCCACCAGGTTGCTTGCAGTGGCGGAGGTTTTCAAGGAGCCGATCACTCCAGAACTCTCATCGGCCACTCGAGTCGGTCTCCACTAAATACCCTTAAAAGACCTGTCAAATAGGTTTCAATTTCAAAGTGGCACGAGCTCACGTGCTCATTAGCATAATACCTGGTCGCTCATCATAAAGCACCGGCATGAGAGAGGCGAGGGGTTGAAAAGTAGAGGTTGCACGCGACAAAACATTTTTTTTTTCATTTTCACTTTCTGTGTTTGCTTAATATATGATGTGTGTCAATGAAGTTGGACGGGAAATATGCAGAAAAGAAAATGCTAATTTTCAAGGCGTTAGAGTCTGGGACATGGAAAAGAAGCGAGAAGTTGGGGAAATGAGAAAAGGTCGAAATAAAAAGGAAGGGGATTTAGAAAGCGACCAGGGCCCGCCTTTTTTTTATATATATTATGCTTTTGTATATTGTGGGGGCATATTTTATATTTCTGGTTCTGAAAAGAGTTTTTTATTCTATTTTTTATTGGTTCATATTAATCGCTGTGAGCTTTGCCAAATTGTTTTGTTGCTCTTTTTGTTTAATTAATATGTGGAATAAAAATGGAAAAGTGTAAGAATGAGGAGCGCATGGAAATTGGAAAGGAGTTGTGTACAGAAGGGCTTGCTGTGACGACGGGCAGGAAGGCTGTAGACTGTGTGGGGGAAGTGGCTTATCTCTTAGGTTATAGAAAGCTATTTATTATTTGTACGCAGAAGGTTTTTTTTTCATACAACGTTTTCAGCATCACGAACTTCCCTCTACTTCCCCTCCTATTCTAACCTATTGGCAAGAAATAAACATCCAACTGAGTCGAAATGAATGATGATCCAAGCGATAATCATGCAGTTTGATTATAGCATTATAGATAAGATGATGAATTTGCTGGGGTTTGGTAGATGTTGTGTTATGGCTGTAAACAACAGAATGGCGGTGTGAGCCAGCTGAACTGATTCGCCCCATAGCTAGTGGTTAGGCTCTCGGACTCGCAACCGTAAGGTCGTGGGTTCGAATCCCGTCAAGGGCCCGACGTTGTGTCCTTGGGAAAGGCACTTTACACGAATTTTCCTCACT